CCCCCAGCACTTTATCAGAAGAGGAATCGTGTCAGTTTGACCTGACTCCCCAGCATCTGTATAGCTCGCACACTCCAGCAGGGCTTTTTTGGCACTGGCAATCAGCTATTAGATAAAAGCACCAAAAAGCCCTGCTGAAGTGCAAGCTATACAGATGCTGGGTCAAAGTGACATGACTCCTCTTCTGGGCATGCATTGCGCTTGGTCCGGGAACGCGCCAAGCTGAAAGTAAAGCAATTATTTAAAACCACAAATAGTTAAGTCTAACAAGATCACTGTCAAACAACCTGCTTTGGGCTTGATGATATAACTTTAGTCTGGGAGTGGTTCTGCACCTGTTTTTGGAGGAATTAGCTAATTGTGCCTGATTGGGTGTGATTGCAATGTGAGCAAGGAGGTTGGACAGAAAGGCAACTCTTGCCAGAAGTCAGCAGCTAGTGAGCTATATAGGACCAGTGACCAGGACAGCAAACATGAGAGTTTGAGAGAGAATTTGCTGAGAAGTTGGCCAGGAAACTTTCCTTCTCATCCTTTACTATAAGATTCCTAGGTGGAAGCAAGTGAAGGAAGAAGAGGTTTTTTTCCCCAGAATGTAGCAGCAGCAGCAGAAGGAGCTAGCAGTGTATTCAAGAGGATGCTGCATTGTCAAAACAACTGCCACTGTGAGCCCTTCCTTTGCTTATTTCTGTGTGGGCTTTGTCCAGGTGCAGCCACTGACCACTGAGGCTTCCACCCAGGTTCTGAGCTGGCTTTTCAGGAACTGTGGCCTGCATGTCTCTGCCAGGGACAGGTAGCTGGGGGAGTGCTTGTGGTGTGAATAGGTACCCCCTGGATTCTCTCAGGAACAGTTAAGAGAGCTGCAGGAGGAAGTGGTTAGGCTCAGAAGCATCCCTGAACATGAGGCCTTCATTGACTTGATGCACAACGAGACATAAAGAATCATGGAAGAGGGACAGCCAGAGAAGGTGAAGCTGGCAGTTTGTCACCTCGGGCAACACACAGCACTCCTCTTCTGAATTTGCAGCTGTCCACCTGGAGAATAGGTATGAAACCCACTCCAATGGTAGGGGAAGCCAAGCCATGTACCCCTAGCGGGGAGAGGCTCAAAACTCCT